GTCTGGGGGTCCCAACCGCCACCCCGGCTATCACGTCAGCCAGCTCAGGCAGGGCTGTTGATACATAGCAGGGAGCCAGGTATATAATCAACAAGCCCACTTGCACCCCTTGCCCCCATTTCACAAGGAGGGACTCCACGCCGTCTATCTGAGGCACAGTGGTCTCCCTAGGACAAAGGCTCTCCCTTATAATGACCACCATTAATATGACCTTTGTGGCCGATCCAATTTTACAACCTTTTTTGGTGGCAGTCATTAAGTGAATCTCTATTCCAACCTCTTTCTTCTGTTGTGTGTAGAAATTTCAAGTCACCCAAGCTAATATATGAATTCTTGGCAATCTCTCTCTTGCTCTGTTTAGGTTCAAGGAATCCGTGCAGAATTCACTGTGGAAGTATATGAAACCCATGCCAGAATAGCTCTGGAGAAGGTAAGACCTAGCAAAATAATATTAATAAGATAACGCTCCATGGTTCCAGGTTTAATTCCATTTTTATCAATCTATATCTTTCCCCTATTTGCATTCTCATTAACATAAATATTAGATATCGCTACACTTTGGAAGAAAAAATGTAACGGTGTGCAAAACCGTTTAACTTGAAATATTTTGAAATTGAAATGCCCTGTTTTGAGTTTGAAATAATTTAACCCCACTGTGGATAAATACATTGAAGCAGTCACCTTCTGTCATGTGGTACTTCCACACAGTGTAAATCTTATCTAGTAGGAGTCATTTCCCTCTTTGCTTCTTAGTTGTGGAAGGAAATCTGTTTTCTTAGGCAAATTTTGAAAACATGCTTTTATTTTACTGCACAGATTCCAAAGCAGGAAAATGACTAGAGAGATGATTTGGAAGTCCTGTTCAACAACTTTGTCTCCCTGCCTTTTTTTTTTTTTTTAACCATGTACACCTTCCTACCCCCAAAATTATTTGGGCAATTTATATTCCTTTAAGGATTGTAGAAAACATTTGATTTTACTCTATGATGAATGCGTTCCTCTTGGGTCAAGGCAGTATAGAAATAGTGTAATATTAGATAAGCTTCACATAAAGATAACAGCCCCTTCTATACTTGGCAGAGCATAAAAAGTGTAAATTGGTCTTTTTGTGTTTTACTCATAACGACATGGCAATACAAGAGAACTAATTTGTCTGGCTCAGATTTTGATTGAATTGTTGATTATATAAAGGTAGTCCTTGACTTACGACCTCAATTGAGTCCAAAATTTCTGTTGCTAGGCGAGACATTTGTTAAGTGAATTTTGCCCCATTTTATGACCTTTGTCACAATTGTTAAGTGAATCACTGCAATTGTTAAGTTAGTGACACAGTTGTTAAGTGAATCTGGCTTCCCCACATCAGAGAGCTGTAAAATGTGATCCCATGATCCCAGGTCACTGCAACTGTCATAAATATGAGTCAGTTGCCAAGCCTCTGAATTTTCATCACGTAACCATGGGGATGCCACAGTGGTCGTAACTATGAAAAACAGTCATAAGTCATTTTTTTCAGTACCGTTGTAACTTTGAACGGACACTAAATGAATTGTAAGTCGAGGACTGCCTGTCCCATCAGCTCTTAGTTGACTACAGAGGATTTTCTCCATTGATGATCCATCCCCAACCTGATCCTTCATTTCCTCCAGTGGTGTATCCATCACTGCTATCATTGAGTCCTTGCTGCTGATCCTCTTCCTTTTTCTTTATACCTTTCCCAGTATAACAGACTTTTCCAAATTCAAATTCAAATTCAAATTTATTTGATTTATATACCGCCCTTCTCCCTTGCGGGACTCAGGGCGGTGAACAGGCACATTAATAAAACAGCAATACCATAATATTTAAAAATATTTAAAACTAATTAAATTATTTGTCCTGTCCTAAAACCCACTATAATAATATAAAATTATACCCAATTTAAAATTGTAGAG